GTGTTAACGAGCAGTTGGACAGGTGTACCTAATAAAGTGGCCGGTGAGTGTATATCAGTGGTTCCCAAACTTTTTATCTTCTGACCCACAAAATATCCATGGCAAAAACTTGTGACCCCAAATATTACTGGTCTGAGTACACAAACTTTGTTAATAACCCAGGGCAGCTGTGGCTACAGTGTAGTTTGCCATCATCAGTGTGTGAATGTGAGTGTGAATGGGTGAATGTCTGTTAGTGTAAAGCGCTTTGGGGTCCGGAGGGACTTGAAAAGCTCTCTATAAGTTCAGTACCATTTACCATTTACCAACCCTAAAAACAAAAAGGCTACACAAATATAAATCATTATTTATACTTATTTTGTGTTTTTGTAATAATTAGAGGGGAAATATTACATCACCATTTATTTTATTACCCTTTCAATTGTTTTCTGAAATGCAGTGGTTCCCAAACCTTTCAGCTTTTGACCCACAAAATAACAGTAGACCTGAGCCCACAACTATGTTTGGATGATAAACATTTGTATCAGGTCAACTAAACATGGGCATAGTAACAATATTTATTATTCTACATTTAAGGCAACTAAGGCAAAAATATAATTAATTTAGAAAATCTTTTCAGGACCCCAAATTGATGTTTCAGGACCCCACTTTGGGTCCCGACCCCAACTTTGGGGACCACTGATTTGATCCCTCCATGAGAGATCGTAAAGATAAGCAGATGACACAGAACACCAGGAAAGAAATAACCTTTTTTTGTTTTGTTTTAAAATATAAAAATAAAATGCTTCCTTTTATGTTGACCTTTTCAGTTATTTCAACAGTTTTTATAATTTCTACATCAACATGTTCAAAACTTTGTTCAGGCTCTGGTCTACTTCACCTGATCTGTTAAAAATGACTTCATGTCATTTATTATTCTGCTAGCCAGGAGGCTACATTTGTAATGCCACCAACTTATACTAAGTGAATTAGAGAAATTGTTTATTTTATTAAATTGAGGGAGGGAAATGAATAACAAAATCAGGTTGACTTCAGCTGTTAATGTCATAAAAAAGTAAACATATTAAAGTTCAGTCACCTTCCCAGTCCTGCCACACAGTGGACAGCGATGCAGCAGCCGGGCTCCTCTCTGAACTTCAGCTTCAGTAAGTTCAGCCAGTCATCCACGATCTGGTTGGAAGGAGGAGCTCCGTCATCAAATGGCCAATCCTGGAGAGAGACGGTGATAAAAAAGTTTCTTATGAACCTAAACAAAAGAAGTGTGAGGACCGAACCTGCTGCAGGAGGAAAAATAAAGTTGTTGTTGGGTGAGGGACACATGCAGAGGAACCCTTTCTTTATGATCTAAAAGCTTTATTAGTATTTATTCACTCAGTGTTATTTACAAATCAAGGTCTACCATTCATTTTACACTAAATGTTGGTGAGAAAATACAGATTTGGAAAGATAAAAGTTGTTGGCACACCCTAGAGCAGGGGTGGGCAATCCTGGTCCTGGAGGGCCACAGCCCTACGTTTTACGTTTTTCCTGCTCCAACACACCTGATTCAGACACTGATTTACCTTCTAAGTTCTGCTGTACGGAGGACCGACACTGACACAAACCAAACATGTGTTGGTGTTGGACACAAACCAATACATGTATTGGTTTGTGTCCAACACCAATACATGTATTGGTGTTGGACACAAACCAATACATGTATTGGTGTTGGACACAAACCAATACACGTATTGGTGTTGGACACAAACCAATACATGTATTGGTGTTGGACACAAACCAATACACGTATTGGTGTTGGACACAAACCAATACACGTATTGGTGTTG